AGGAAAATTAAAAAAAAAAAAAAAAAGAAGTGGCTGGGAAACAGAAGAGATGACCAAGTCAATCTGATGATAGACACTAATAACAGTAACTAAAGGGAGAGTCCTTAACTGTGGAATGTTTTTAGCAGGAAGTTCTTTGTTCCTCTAGGTTGAGTATTATTAATAAACTAGAAGTCTGGTGCATGAAAATTTGTGCACTTGGGGGGGGGGTGTCCCTCAGTCCAGCCTGCTCCCTTAGTCCGAGAGCCCTCAGGGGATGCCTAAGCTGCAATCTGGCCTCCCTCTGTGGGAGGCGACCAGCACGGCGGCGATCGGGGACAGTGCTGGCCACCAAGCAGCCGGCCCTGCCCCCCAATTGCCCCTCCACCGCCGCTGGTCACTGCCACCCCCTATCGCCGTCTCCTTCCTCTGCCTGCTGGCACCTGTCTTGGCTGACCTGGTGCTGCCCTCTCACCGGCCCCGCCCTGCCCCCTGCAACCCGTCCTTCTGCCATTTGGTGGATTTGCATACTAGGCTTTTATTATATAGGATGTGGTGTTTATGGCCCATTGGAAAATGTCATATAAGCTCTATAATTAGTAGGGAATTAAAAGGTAATACTTTATTACTGAAATGACTCCTTGTGTGCATGTGATGTCCCAGACTTTTCACTTACCTGGCCCATCTCCTTTGAATTATTAGCAAAAGTAATGGGTATGTTTCTGATTCCTTTAAGTCGTTAAATTCTGTCTTATAGTCTTTGTTTTTTTCTTTTTTCTTTTGTTAATCCTCACTCAACGATATTTTTCCTTTGATTTTTAGGGAGAGTAGAAGAGAGAGGGAAAGACAGAGAGAAACATCGATGTGAGAGAAACACATCAATTGGTTTCCTCCTGGGCTGGGGAGGAGCCTGCAACCAAGATACATGCCTTTGACTAGAATTGATTCTGGGACCCTTTGGTCTGCAGGCCAACGTTCTATCCACTGAGTCAAACCTGCTAGAGCTCTTATAGTCTTTCTATAAACATCATAGAAAATAGATACGAACCTTTCCTGAGCAATGGCCTAGAAAACAAACTTCAATGATCAAAAAATGTTTGGAAAATCTTTAGCATAATGTCTGGGCATGTGATGAGTATAACTGAAAACTAAGGCTGATGGTGACAAGAGAGACAAAATACCATGTAAGTGTTTTGTGGGAATAATACAACTCCCAGAAAAAGAATGGAAGGAAGGGAATAAATGGAAGACAAAATAAATTCACTGGGAATAAAAGAATATAAGTTGGGGCTTATAAATCAAGCTCCAAGACTTTTAAAGAAATTGTTATTTACACATTGTATGCGGGAAATGTATTTATACGTTTTACGTTGACTGTAGTAGTAGAGTGTGGGACACGTATTAATACGTTTTTTATAGACTAGTGGTAGAATGCAGGTAACGTATAAATACGTAAACTAAAGTTATCGTAATCTTTTTTTAAAATATATTTTATTGATTTTTTACAGAGAAGAAGTGAGAGATATAGAAAGTTAGAAACATCGATGAGAGAGAAGCACCGATCAGCTGCCTCCTGCACATTATCATAATCTTATTGAAGTTGCCATTTGCGCAAAAAATTAGCAAAAATGGCCCACACCACCTGGTAGCGCGTGATAAAAACTACCCGCAAACAATGTGTTTATTGATTTTAGAGAGATAGAATGGGGCGGGGAGAGAGAGAGAGAGATAGAGGAATATTGATTTGTTGTTCCACTTATTATTCATTCATTGACTGCTCCTTGTATATGCCACGACCGGGGATCGAACCCACAATCTTGAACTATCGAGATGATGCTCTAATCAACTGAGCTACCCAGCCAGGGCTTGAGCTCCAAGACTCATAATCAGATATGATAATCTAAAGAGTAACTAAGAACTTAGTATAGTCACTAAAACTGGATAGAGAGAAAAAGAGCATTTATATGATCATTTCAGTATTGCTCATAGTAGGAAAACAATGGTTATTAGCTGAAGAAAGTGAGGCTGCAGCCATTATATAATAACTAGAGGACAGGTACATAATTCATGCATGGGTGGGGTCCCTAGGCCTGGCTGGTGGTCAGGGCCGATCAGGGCCATCTCACCCAGTCCTGATCAGGGCCAGGCTGATCAGGGCCATGGCAATTGGGGCCTGCCGGCTGGGGGAAGCAACAGGTGGAGGGACCACAGGTTGGCTGGCCAGCCTCTATCGGGGTCAATTGGGGCACCTGACTGGGTGGAGGGACCGTGGAAGGTTGGCTGGTTGCAGGGAGGGATCAGTGGCCGGCTGCGGGAGGTTGGCTGTGGGAGTGCACTGACCACCAGGGGGCAGCTCCTGTGTTAAGCGTCTGCCCCTTGGTGGTCAGTGCACATCATAGTGACTGGTCAACCGGTTGTTGATCAAGTTGTATCTGTTCTTACCAGCAATGCCTACAGAAGTGCCAATGTCATTAAAGCCAAGTTGACTCTTGGATTCCTACTCCAAGATTATTTGCTGCCCAGCCAATGTGGCTCAGTGGTTGAACATTGACCCATGAACCAAGAGGTTTATTCCTAGTTAGGGCACATGTCTGGGTTGTAAGCTTGATCCCCAGTGAGGGACACGCAGGGGGAAGCCAATCAATGATTCTCTCTCATCAATGATGTTTCTCTCTCTCTCTCCCTTTCCCTTCCTCTCTCTGAAACAAACAAAAACATAATTAAAAAAAATTAAATTGGAATATCATGGCTAACCCAAAGGATTGGAACACGGCTTAGTAACACTGCATTGGTTATAATGTAAAAGGGGCATTTCATGCATTGCTGATGGTAACATAAATTGGTACAACTGCTCTGCATGGAAAAGGATTAACCATTAGTCTGCCTTCTTATATGGACGATTTTTCAGGGGAGCCAAATAGCCCTCATTGATGAGGCAAAGTTCTTTACAGAAAAAATAAAAAAGTAAAAGTTCTTTGCAGTTCTTTAACTTTGGAAGAAATTATAATATTAGAAATGTTGCTGTTTTGCAAACTTCAACCAAAACAATGGATAAAATTTATACTAATAAAAGGGTAATATGCTCATTAGACCAGGCGTGTTCCAGATGTCCTACTGGACAAAGCCGCGCTGTGAGGGCCGAGGCAAGCCGCCACAGCTGGGAGGGCTCATTGCAGAGCCTTGGCCTGGTGGGCAGGGCCTCCCTCTGCGTAGCATTGATCACAGAGCCCTGGCAGGGTGGGCAAAGCAGGCAGGGCCTCCCTATGGGCAGTGATGTGTGGCAGAGGCCAGGCTGGGTGGGCAGGGCCTTCCTGTGGGCGGGGATCAATGGCAGAGCCCCGGCCTGGTGGGAAGGGCCTCCCTCTGCACAGCACTGATCACAGAGCCCTGGTAGGGTGGGAAGAGCATCCCTCTGCTCTGCAATTGATCCCAGAGCCCTAGCAGGGATCAGACCTAAACCAGCAGTTGGACATCCCTCTAGGGGTCCCAGATTGGAGAGGGTGCAGGCCAGGCTGAAGGACCTCCCACCCCCGTGCACGAAATTCATGTACCAGGGCTCTAGTAGTGAAATAAAAGATTAATGGGAAATATTACAATGGAAATACCATGTGGTCACTAACTGAACCCACTGATGAATCTCAGCATGAATAAGAGTGAAACAGCCAAAAATAATGCTCTGAAGTATGGAGAGGTGAAAAGAAAGTGGGCCTAGGATTTGCTTTAAAATAATTCAGCAAAAATACTAACAACTACAAAAACAACAATAATAATAAATAAAAGTGTAGCAAAATGTTGATGACTGCTAAAACTTTGTGATGGGATTCATTACACCGTTATTTCTATTTTGTATATGTTTGAAATTTTACATAATAAAAATGTAAGGCATACATACCAGTTTTTTCAAAAAGGAATCAGCTTGCCATAATTTAATTTTGGATAACAAATTAAAGATAAATGGAAATTCACTGAAAATAATGAGACTGAAGTTTCCTGGAGTTATCTAAGAAACAAACAGACAGTTTTGATCATTAAAAGCAGAGGAAAATGTCATTCCTTTACTTCATCACCTTAAATTATTTCTTTCTATATTTTCTAGAATCTGTTTTTAAAAATCCAAATTACTTAAAAACAAATTTCTAAGAAAATGCATTTGTTTTGTGAGTAAAAGATGTTTAAGTTTTCACTGATTATCTAGTTTAGCGTTTTCCATACCTACATACCTACATAGCTACTAATGTGTCCCCCCTTAAAGTATGAAAATATTCAGAGTCCTCTTGGTATTTCCACTCAGAAGTGAAAATGTTACTCTTACCAGGTAGCTATCTCTCTGGAACATTATATTTCTTTCTTCAATAAAGTTCAACTTAGTGGAGAGTTCATTTATGATGAAAGTATTCTCTGGTAGTTGACAAGTAGCTTTGTTTACCTTAAAGAGAATATGACCTGTGAATATCATTTTCTACTAACGAATGATGTAATCTTCCAATAAAAGAGTAATATGCAAATTGACCATCACTCCAACACACAAGATGGCTGGCAGAGGAGGGCAGTTGGGGGCAACCAGGCTGGCAGGGGAGGACAGTTGTGGGGGACCAGCCCTGCAGGGGAGGGCAGTTGGGGGGAACCAGGCCTGCAGGGGAGGACAGGGGTGACCAACCAGGCCAGCAGGGGAGGGCAGTTGGGGGCAATCAGGCCATGGTGGAGGTCCATGCTGATGTCTGACAGGTGGGCGACTGGCCTTGGTGAGGGGGACCCCAGGTAAGTGGCCAGGGCCAGAGGCCGACTGATGCCCACAGAGGAGCATCCTGTCCCCCCTGGTCACTGCTGTGGGCGCTCCCAGGGACCAAATACCCCTGCACCCCTGCACCCCATGCGCTCCCGGGGTCTGCAGGCACCTCTGCCCAGACGTGTCCTTCTTGTCCTCCACTGCCCTGTGCAGGTTCCCGAGCAGCCACCTGCTCCTTGTCTCCCCCACAAACTCCACAGAGCCAGCCCCGCCCACCCTCCTTCCTCAGGGCAGCTGGTGCCCAGGCCGGGGCAGAGGCTCAGGGAGGCCTCGAGGAAGCTGTGGGGGAGTGTGTGCCCTGCGGACGTGCATTTGAGTCTGTCCCCACCCACCAGCGGCCGCAAACCCACAGAAAGCTGCGGCGAGCAAATAATAAGACAGCCCGTCCGCTTCGCTCAGTGGAGAGAGCGTCGGCCCACAGCGGAAGGGTCCCGGGTTCGATTCTGGTGGGTGAGGAAGGGGTGGCAGTGTGGGTGGCCGGGCATCCGGGCAGAGGGGCTGGGACGAGGGTCCTGCTGACACTCCAGCCCCTCACGCAGGCGGTCCCAGCCCCATGCTGTGTGCCGGGCCCTTCCGGGCCCTTCGCAGACGCAGACGCCCACGGGAGTCGACCACACACATGGGGCTGCCCCGCAGTGCGGGACCCTCCGTCTCCACAGGCCACAGCTCACCAAGAACCGTCTCACACTGAGAGCGGGACCCTGACGTTCTGTGATCCCGATGGGTTCAGACATTTCACAGCCCACGGACCCCGGGCCTTGCTGTCGCGGGAAGAATGGGGAAGGGCCCTCAGGTCCCGCGGGGCGGCAGTTCCGGAGGGTTCGGAGCCGGCGGGGGGCCTGTGCGCCGGGGATGCTGCCAACAGGCTGTTTGTGTCACGTGTTGTTCTCGTTCCTGAATTGGTTAAGTCAAGGAAATTATTTTAAACCCTCAGACTTGACAAGCCTCCAAGACGGGTGTGAAAGCTGCCCTCCT